AAGTTTCGTCTCCAATTCGAACTTTCTCAACGAACAAAGTGCATGCTGTTAAAACTCAGAGATGATAATGACACCCGCCTCCGCATTCCCTATGCTCGGGAACTTTCCTGCACATAGACGGGAGAGCGGATGTACAGATGTGGAGGAAGGGAGAAGAGGTTACTTAAGTGAACAGTTTTTCTTAACCCTTTAGATATTTTTTGCCCCCTTTGTTCTTTTTCTCAGATTGGTGTGCTTAGGACAGAGTGATGCCACTCATCTGAAGTCTTCTTTTGTACTTCCGGGAATACCTGCAGATTATCCTATTTGGGAGATGGGGGGGGGTCAGTTTGCGACCCAAATTCTTGTTCTTAGGTTGGAGGAACTGGTTAGAGCCGATTTTTCCTCTGAGTAGTGTCCAGGTTTTTGCTTAATTGGGAATGCTTCCTGAAATCACTTATTGCTGTTGCATTAAACTTTTAATGTCCAGAAAATATACTTGGTGGCCTCATTCCTAAGGTGATGTTTATTTTAAATTTTTGTTTCTTTGGTCCATTTGATTGTTTTAGCTCATTTGGCTCTCCCTGAACGTCCTGCTGTTTTGGAAAACCTTCCTGCTGTACAATCAAGGGCCAGAATATCACTACCTCCATCAGATGTTGGGCGTAAGTGGAACTTGGGTGACCTGTTGGAAGGGGTTTAATGCAGCAAGACATTGGTCAGTTCTCTTCATCAAAGAAACTTCACAAACTTTCGTTGATTTCTGACATGGTCAGGTTTTCTTGATTTGTCATTCGCTTTTGTCTAGGTAAGAAAGATTAATTCTTTTTCAAAGGGCTAAAGATAGCATCTGTTAAAGTGAAATGAATGAACTTGCCAGATGCCTTTTGCAAACTCTAAAGTGCCCTGGAGGCTTTGCTTCCGTGGAAGATCAACCCGTGAGGGCTTTTTGTTTTCACTTATCAAGGCTTTCGGCCTGTCCATCAGCTTATCCAGAGGATTTCTACACTGTTTTCTTTTACTGAGGGTTCTTACAAAGTACATGTCCAGTGCAGTTATTCATTTCTGGGTAGTTAGTTCTCAGTTGCTTGCCTTAGGTTAGCAGCTGATTGTGGTTCAGGAGTTTTGGTCTAATATGAGAATGACATTGTGCAATACTTGGCTGTGATTTACTTCATGTAGGTATTTTTCTTTTCTCTATTCTGATCTTATCCTTTTTTGTCATTTCCTATTTAATCCCTTATCAAAAGACAGCTTTACTGATGACATTTTACTTTGTGTAAAAGATTGCATTTTCTGAACAGCAAGCAAAAAAATACAGAATATATTGCAAAATATTAGGGAATCTGAACTAGCAGATTTGCCATTCTTTTTGCTTTTTGTTTTTGTTTTTTGGTACCAGGGATCAAACTCTGGTCCCTGTGCTTGTAAAGCAGGCACCAGAACCACTGAGCTAAATCCCTGGCTGCCATTCTTTTTTGATGGAGGAAGAAAACACATTTTAAAGAGAGGTTTTCCATAGTTTAGCGACTGCTTAAAATTACTTGAAATTAATTTAATGGAACTAGTTGTCTCATTTTTTTACATATAGAGAATTTATTTGGCTTTAAATCTCAGTACCCCAAGCGGTGACTGGCACATGGTAAGCCTACAGTGAGTTGCAGTTTAAATTAATATTAAGTGATATTTTATTTTATACAACACAATGCTGTTCTTCATAACCAGTGTTCACACTATGTTTTTAAATGTTTCATACCTGTTTTTAGTTAATGGGATCAAACAAAGCTGTCTAAAAACAAATTCATTTTATTGGAAATTATGAAATCTAAACACTTCTTTCATCTATCTAATGTCTGCCCAATCATCCAGAAACTGTTACAAAATCTGTACTTCTTTTTTGGCTCTCGGGGTTGAACTCAGGGGCTTTGCATTAAGCTACATCTCCAGCCTCCCTTTTTCTTTCTTTATTTTTAAAAAATTTGAGGCAAAGTCTGGCTAAGTTACTAAATTGTTCAGGCTGAGCTCAGATCCTCCTGCCTCCACCTTTCAGAGTGGTGGGATATCAGGGAGGATTGTGTCACTATGCTGGGCTTGAAACCTATGCTTTTGTAATGGGCACAGAGAATAAAACCTTATCCCTCCCCTCCACTTCCATATAATTTAGTTGGAAAACTGATGAATAAACAGCTGTAATTAAAAAAACAAGATTTTTTTTTTCTAATAAATTTACCACGTCTGCTTGCCTATCATTCTTATCTTATTTTCTGGAAATTTGCCATGTGGTGTGAATTAATGAACAGAACATTTCTTTCCCCAGTGGTAAGATTATTTGACTTCTTATATAACTTGATGAACAACTTGAACAAAACTTTTGAGAATTACAGTGGTAAATTTTGTTCTGGATCAGTAGGTATTTTGTGTTCATATAAAATCTAAGAATTAGAATATTATTGCAAAAACTTGGAAAAAGCTAGTTGAACTTTGGATTTTAGCTCTGTAGCACAATATAAGCTAAAATAAAAATTTATTTTTAAGGAGACTAATTATGTTGGAAATGAACAAGTTAATTTTTATGAGCTTGTATGCTGTGTAACTTCAATTTTATTGTGGTTACAAGTAAGAGAAGATGTAGATTACACATATATACATACATATGTGCATTCACACACACACCCCACACACGCAGCCAACAAATTTTTAAAATATTTAAAAATATTTTCTACCTTTCTTCTACCATCCCACTTTAATGTTTTATTTATTTATTTATTTGTTTATTTTTTAGTCTTTTTTTTTTTAGATGGTATGACAATGAGAGGAGGTCCAAAAACTGCTGGCAGTGGGGCCTTAGTGACTAGTAATGAAATGAATGAAGACACTGATAAAAGGTCCACATGCAAAAATGGCGACAAAGTGGTAGAAAGGGCATTGAGTTACTTTTCAAGGAAACATAAGACTAATCACCTGAGGTGATCTTTAAGCAACATTTATTTTTGTTGAGGATGCAACATTTTATGAGAGTACTTGTGAAAAGGAATGATGTTACTTCTTGATATCAGGCTGACAGATGATTTATGACTTTCCAACTCCATCCTTTCCAGAAATTTCCCGTTTGAGTCATCAATTCATCTAAACCACTTTAAAATAAATATTTCAACCAATATATGCTTTTTAGTAAAAAAGGAACTTCTGTGGTTCTACGATTTGCTTTATGAAGACTCATTGTGGCTTATAGTTCTAATCTTGTAACTGTGGTATAGTTTCATGGAATAAGAATTTTCAAGTACTGTTCAAATTGGAAAAATACCATGCAACAATGAAATAAGTTAGTTTAAAAATAAATAGTGTTAGTCCCTGTGTTTTAAATCTTTAAGAACTCTAAAGTGCTAGTTTAATGTCTCAGAGCAGTGCATATTAGAGCTTACCAAACTCTCAGTTTGACCATGACAGAAATGCAGAAATCCTCCACTTTCCGCCATCTTTCCAGGCCGCCATAATGGGTGCTGGTGAATGTCCTGGCTGATGCTCTTAAGAGCGTCCACAATGCCAAAGAGAGAGGCAAAACGCCAGGTCCTTATTAGGCCATGCTCCAAAGTCATCGTGCGGTTTCTAACTGTGATGATGAAGCATGGTTACTTTGGCAAATTTGAGATCATTGATGATCACAGGCAGGATAAACAAGTGTGGAGTGATCAGCCCCAGGTTTGATGTGCAACTGAAAGACCTGGAAAAATGGCAGAATAATCTGCTTCCGTCCAGTCAGTTTGGTTTCATTGTATTGGCAAACTCATCTGGCATCATGGAGCATGAAAACACACAGGAGGGAAAATTCTGGCATTCTTTTACTAGTGAAATAAACCATACAAATAAAATGCTTCAATGGAAGAAAAAAAAAAGAAATGTAGAAATCCTGAAGAGGATATATAATATTCTGATATGGTGAATTTCTTCTAGATTCACAGACATTTTAGATTCACAAAATCATGATGATATCTGGAAATCAATTTGTACCATTTAAAAACACAGATGGAAATAATACATCTGTTTTCTGCACATTTTGATAATAGCATTAAGTATAAAGTTTACCGTCATCCATCTGTAAAGTATATGTGATAACAAAGTTACCCTAATACCAGAAGTGTCCACAGAATAGCTCTTATTTGCAAGGACATAGATATGGAGAAGGAGTAAATGTTTTTGTAAAGATCTCTGTTTTGTATTGAAAACAATTACGTCATTCAAACAGCTTACACGAACTTATCATATGCCATGCAATTTACAAGTATTTTGCTTTAGCTAAGAAACAGTTCCCATTTTGCATATCAAGAAATACAGGCTAAGAAAGGTGTATGACTTGCTGAAGTGTTCTGGGTGGTCAGTGCCAAAAGCAGAATGCAAATGCAGTCCTTTCTGACCTCTGCTTTTCTCTCTTAATGTACACTTTTTAAACTGTTTCACTGGCTCCTCTCAGGTACTCAAGCATTGACTAATATTTCTCCTTATCATTGCTGCCCAATAGAAATATAATGTAAGTCATAAAGTAAAGGAAGCTGGAGACATTCATTTAAAAATAAATAACCTAGTATACCCAAAATATTATTATTTTGATATATAGCCATTATTCAAAAATTAATGAGATGTTTTACTTTATTTTTTCTACTAATTACTTGAAATACCCTATGTACTTTTATTCCCACCCATTTAATGGTTCAGTCACTAAATCTTTATAAGGGATATGAATCTTTATTTTTAATCTTATAAAATTTACAAGTGAAAAAGCAGATTGATATATGGTACCTAAGTCGTTGCAGATGTGCTTCAACGTTATCTAATAACACAAATGAGTTCCAAGTAGTCCCAGCTACTCTGGATGGTGAGTTGGAAGGGTTGTTTAAGCCAAAGAGTTTGTCCCCAGCCTGAGCAAAACAGTGAGACCCTGTCTCAAACAAACAAACAAACACATTTAAGTTATTAAAATTACTAAATCTAAAGATTAAGTTCTTTGGTAACCACACGTACATTTAACATATTGAATGGTGGTATGTGGCTAATAAGTTGCATTTTGGACAACTCAAGTATGGGAAAGATTCTCACCTGTGTGGCCATCTAAAGTTATCATTTTGTTTTCAAGCACACAACTAACCAGCCAACTAACTTGATAAAAACTATATCAGGATGTAGGTATTTTTGCTCCTCTACAAAATATGAGTTGATATTGATGGAAAATTATGGGCTCTACTTGTTGGCATAAACTATAAAAACCTCTCAAATTTATGCCTTATCCTCTGAGCTCTCCGGGGGTGGGATCTTTTAAGAATGAGGTGTTGAAGTGTCATGCATGTGTACCAACACTCAGTGGTTATAATCATTATGTACTGTGAACATGTATCATGAATATTCTTTGCCAGGCTGGTTCCATCTACACTAGGAGGCAGTTGGTCACGGTTGGTTTACGCCTGAGTTAATGGACTAATCAGATTGTGCACTTCCTAGGAGATGTTTAATTATGACATGCTCTGAGTTTTGGAATCTATAATGGGCTAAAAGAAAAAAAAATGTCTCAAGGGAAAGCCAAAACAAACATCAAAATAAACAAATTAATTAAAAACCCATCCCCTCTCACAGCAATTTTTTAAATAAATTACTTTATTGATTGAGATTAAATCTG